TCGCCGCGCCGCCACAGCCCCGCCTTCTGCAGAAAACTCCCATAAAGTGACGCCAAGCAACCCCAACTTGTCTTCAGTTACCTGTTACAAATTTGGGGTGATTATTTGAAAGGGCAAATTTTAGACAATTTCCAAGTAAAACTTGACCTTTTAAGTCCTGAGGGGGCGGGGCTTATGTGACATCATCAATCAACCTTTCATTTGTCTTCGGGGGGCGATGACGATTGTCCATAGAAGATTACTTTAACTGTAATTCTTTCATTTATGAAATTATAGCAATTTGAATTTTTTTGGCGAGTGCTCAAACTTTGAGGCCTGGCCCCGCCCCTTCAGTATTTACGAAAAGTCAATTTTATTGTCTCATTTGACTCGTCCATCGCTTCTGTTCGATCGCACACTATTTTTGAGACAATCGTGCGAAAAGTGACCAAACTGTTCAACCAAATATAGACCCTAGAAATGGCCAAAACGGGGTCAAAATGGCCACTTTAGTCCAAAATGGCCGACTTCCTCTTTGATATTGACCATGGGTGCAAGAGGCTTTTCTGTGCGTATTGTTTAGTTCTACAAGTGTACCAAAATTCATCACTCTACTATGAAAAAAGGTCAAAGCGGAGGGGTATATTTAATTTTCCAGGGGGCGCTGTCGAAACATTTTTTTTTACCAACTTTCACATTGCCATTGAAATACGTAAATTTCACGCACTTTCTATATTAGGCCGGAATTTGGTGAGTTTTTGGATATGCTAAGACCCCCTAAAGGCCACCCAAAGACGCGGAAGAAAAAAAAAGAAAAAAAAAATAAACGGAGCAAAAACAAGAGGCCTTCGCAGCGCTTTGCTGCTCGGGCCTAACAAGTGTGAATGCTAACGCGATATCTAAATCCATCGTCAACCCCGAGCTACACATGTAGGGAAATCCAAGAGATTCAACTGGCAGAAACAACTGGTTCACTCCATAGTCTCTCTCTCACTCACACACACACACACACACACACACACACACACACACACACACACACACACACACACACACACACACACACACACACACGTAGAGGAAAAGAGCTGAGGAAATGGAGGACACCAAGTAGTTAAAAGAAAAACTACAGCTGAGCTGAGGCGCTCCTCGAATGGGGCGCGTCTGAACTGAGCAGCGGCGAGCAGCGGCCGGACTTCGTGAGCGATTCGCTTCTCGGCGCTTCCGCGGCCGGTGTGTCCCCGGCGACGCCGGCTTTCAGCCACTCCCCCTGCTGCTTCCGTCTGCTCTCGTCTGTTTTCCAGGCGAGCCGCTGCTCAGCTCGAACACGGCCATTCTCTGCGCCTCCCATCTTCTTTAAACCGCCAAGAACCATTCCACCTACGCACACGCTTCTCTGCTTCATACCGTTTCGAACTGTCTCGCTTCTCCTCACCAGTTTTAAAGAGTTTTGCCGGAGATTTCATCAAGAAATCCCATCCTTGTGGTGGCGCGATCTTCCTGCGTGCTTGTGTGTTTCTAGCGTGGTTCCACTTCATCTTTAATAGTGAACTTATAGTTCACGTGACTATAATTATGCAGTACGTGCACGAATCGTACAAGTGCAGTACGTGGCTAGAGGCGTGCAGGTTGACGCGCGCGAAACGAAAACGGCAGCTTCCTACAGGGCGGGGCCATGATGTAGGTGAAAGCCGGTGTGTAAATGGCAAATAAAGCTTGGGCGCCACCCGGGCGGTAAGTCGTCAAGTTTTTACCGCCCGACGAGAAAATTTAGCGCCATTGGCGCTCAGGCGCTTTAACGGTCCACCCCTGACTCTCCAAACGACGTGTGCGAAAACCACTAAATTGAGTACTTGGACCAAAATGGCTGACCTCCTGTGCGACATTGGGCTTGGCTCCAAGAGACTTTTTTGTAGGTCCTGAGACACTACATTAGTGTACCAAATTTTGTGATCCTCAGTCAAAGCATGGCTTGGGGCTGACCGTTTTAATGGTCTTAGGGGGCGCTATTTCAGAAAATAGGCCACGCCCACTGGATTTTCACATCAGATTTATGACACGTCTCTAAACAAAGTAAAATTTTCTAGTGCAGAGAGGAGACCACCCATAGAACCACTGATTTGATCTCATTTCAGAGAAAAATAGAACAGGTTAGATGCACCTAATAAATAAAATAACTAACAAACTCAGGAATCTGTTTCTTTGCTTCATTGTTTTGGTGCTGAGAATATCACTAATGCGGATCAAAGGAGATACACGGATGAATGCACCTCTTATTGATTATTTGGAGTCTACATTTACTGCAGCTGGCAGAGGCAGAGATTGTTTCTATTGATACACGGAGTTTACAGAATCATTTTAAATTTTAATAGGGGAAGACTGCAGGAGGGAGCGGTAAAATACAGGGGGTCCACAGCAAAAACAAGAAACTTTACGAGTCTGATGAAACCCGCTGGTTTTCCATCAGGCAGTCACGGGGCAGCTCCAACGACCCAGTGGCTGTGCTGGGTCAACCGGCTCGGCCGTGAACGAGCCGAGGCGACGTCGTGCTCTGCTAAAGAAGAGGTGTTATTTTCCCGCTTCAGAAGAAGCGTCCAACGTGTTTTTATGCTTTCTCCTAGACATGTCACATCGCTAAGTTGTTGGCGCCGTGTGCTAACACGTCAATAGTGCAGCGTAGCCTGCTGGAGGTTTTAAGGGTTCAGATGAAACACCTGACCTCTCAGGCTGCTCACGCATCGATCTTAAGTTGTCGCTGTTGCGCTCACGCCGTAATACAGTATTAGATGCAGTTAAAGTCAGACATGAAAAAATAAATACATTTTGCATGAATAAGTGATGCTTAGCCTGGTGGGAGGAGAACCTGCCCTAATAAGCACTGGAGGAAACCCTGGCAAGATCGTCAACACTCGTTTATCTTAACTGTGTTGAAACATGTAAACCAAAAAGCATTATATCCACTGCTACCTTTCTAATTTTAAACTCAGTAACTTATGCTGTAACTGCACCTTGCCCTGCCTGCCCCTCCTTGCTGCCCGCCGGCTGTGATCACAAGCGACAACATAGTAGTTCCCGCTGCTTCTTCGGGAAACAGCACAAAAACAAAAAAAATAAATAAATAAATAAAATAACTTGGGATCTTGTAGGTGCGGCGGTGGGATTTCAGCCGTGGCGGGTCGCCATGGCTACGCCTATGTAGGGGAAACCCTGCTCTATTCCATTCGGTTATGAAGTTATAGCCATTTATATTTTTTTGGCGAGTAGTCGAACTTCGAGGCGTGGCCCCTCAGCATATACGAAAAATCAGTTTTATTTTTTCTATTTGATTGTCCATCCTTTCTGAGCAATTTCCCACAAATTTTGAGACGATCATGCAAAAAATGATCGAGTAAATCAATCAGAAGCGGACCCTAAAAATGGCCAAAACGGGTAAAAATCGCCATTTCAACTCAAAATGGCCGACTTCCTGTTCGATGTTGACCATGGTTGCAAGAGGCTTTTCTCTGCGGACTGCTGAGTACTACAAGTGTACGAAATTTCTTAACCGTACGATAAACTAAGGTTTATGGAGGGGGGTATTTTTCACATTGTAGGGAGCGCTATTCAGCCATTTTCTTTGCGATTTTTTTTTGGGACCTTTAAAATATCTAATTTTTCACCAGGCCTGACAAGTTTGCAAAATATTGTGAGTTTTGGGGTATGATAAGGTCCCCAAAAAACCATTCAAAGTGGGCTAAGAATAATATACAGAGCAAAAACAAGAGGCCTTCGCAGCGCTTTCGCTGCTCGGGCCTAATAAGATTCCAGCCCAGTCGTGTGTTCTTGTTATTCTGAGCGGCCTTAATTGTAAAAGTAAAACATTGCATCGCCTCTACTACAGGAAACAATCAGTTAATCATCCAGCCAGTTAATTGGCTGATATTTGTTATGTTTTAAATAATCTGATGGAGGCTCTGTGCCTGGGAATGTTCAGCCAATTACCAGGAAGGAAAAGGAGGATGTAGCAGCTGCTTCAGCCCAATCTCTGCAGCGCACCATTTAGTGAAAACAATCTTCTTTTTTTTTTTAGAAATAGTTTTTTTGAGTCACCCATCGACTGCTATTTCTTGGTTTGCATCGACTATAAAACCACATCCATTGACCTCTAGAGATTTTTCCATAAACTATTTTAAATAATTTCATTTTAAGGTATTTTTACCATTTGATTAACAAAAAAATGTAAACATCACCCTGTGAGTAATTTTATTATAAATCTTAATGTCTTAGTCATTTCAAGCAGACAAATTGAATGTAAAAATATTCAGGTGTAGCAAATGGTAAAGAATGGATGTCTGGTTTGTTGGAAATAAAAGGAGACTGATTAATTTTACCGTTTCTGGAATTTAACTTTTATGATTAAAGAAAACAACAGTTACACCAGAATAGGTTTGTTCTAGAGGTAATTATATCTGCACTCACTCTAAGCAGTGTGGGAATAAACTAACAGCACGTTGAGACGTTGGAATGAACTGTTATTTTAATGAGTGAATGAATTTTTATTTTCAAATGTTAGTTTTCTTAAAAATAAAATAGATTCACCATTTTTCCAGTGTGTCATCCAAGCATCAGTGACTTGAGATGCTCGTGCACACACACACACACACACACACACACACACACACACACACACCCCGCTTGTCAGTGTTTATGATGCTGCTGTAAACAATCACAAACACAGGTGAGATTCTGAGACAGAGATGATCTGTAAAGAGAAAATAGGACTCTGAGAATGACGGGATTTGCTGCCGAGATTCTGACTGAACCTTCAGTCTCCAAACAGCAGGAGGTTTTTTCAGTTGACTGCAGACTTGTTGCATGGCAGATTGAGCGTAGCAGGTTGGAGCTCCCTCATGCCTTCACGTTTCAGCAAGCCTGACATTCCTTATTTCACACATGACTGGAGAAATTTGGAAATTTTACCCAGCAAATTTCTGTCCTCATCAGCTCGGTGTATAATGAATCTGTGTCTCTGTGTTGATCAGGCCAATGAAAACAGTCTGCTCAGCGCGCAGCTCAAAGGCTTCCCCCTCTTTCTTCACTCTAACTTGGGCCTGAAGGACTGCATGGTCAACCCCAAGTCCCCACTCCTCTTCATCACTCGAGCAGGCCAGGCCCTGCCGGGTCCTCTCCCCGGGGACGACTGGACCGTTTTTCAGTCCAACCACTCGACATATGAGCCCGTGTTGATGGCAAAGACCCAATCAGCGGAGAGCCTTGCGTCGATGGGGCAGCACGCCGCCATGCTCCCGTCGGTGGTGCAGGACCTGGGGCTTCACGATGGTATCCAGAGGGTTCTGTTTGGCAACAATCTCAACTTTTGGCTTCACAAGCTGGTGTTTGTGGACGCCGTGGCCTTTCTGACGGGGAAGAAGCTGTCACTGTCTCTGGAGCGCTACATCCTCGTGGATATAGATGACATCTTTGTGGGCAAAGAGGGAACCCGTATGAAAGTGCCTGACGTAAAGGTGAGTCGGTGCATGTCTTCTAGAGCTAATAAAACCTCTTCCTGTTTGATCAGCAGCCAGATGGCTGCACACATAGCACGATACTCTCTGCCAGTCACACAGAAACTTCTTCTTCTCGCTCGTCTTTTTCCTTCCCAATGTATTCGTCCCAGTAGGCTGCGCAAAGCCGACAGGCCCAACCGCTCACACGTCACCAAAACTGTACAGCAGTGAATATTTTAGGGGCTCAGAGACAGACAAAGGATGTTGAAAAGCTGCGCGCTTTCGTCCCCTCAGAGCACAAACGAGGGGGAGGAAAAAGTTCTGGTAGCGGCAACAAGGCCTCCTCAGTGGCGCTACGGTGAGCCTTTAGAAACAAATTGCGTCGTGACAAGATGGAGAAATGTGACTGTGAAGGGGTGTGTGTTCGTGCAGTCTCATCCAGCACGGAGATCAAATCAGACACGCCCAAATCAGAGGCAAGCAAAATATCAAACAGAATGGAGGAGAGGAGCGAGGCTGCTGGGAGCCACTGTTGGATGTTTACCGAGAGAAAGTTGCTAAATTAAAGATGTATGTGGGCACGCGAGCGGCTCTGTTGACGCGTTCCTCATTAACGCGCTCATGCAGCAGTTTGAGCCCGTCGTCTGTTGACTAATTCTTCTTTCCTCCCACGGTTACAGGCCCTGCTGGAGACACAGAGGGAGCTGCGCACCCATGTGCCCAACTTCACCTTCAATCTGGGCTTCTCAGGGAAATTCTTTCACGCTGGTAAGATGCAGCTCCAGCTCCTCACGCAGACAGACGAACACAAGCTAAAATCTAAAGATGTTTTTTCAACTATATTTCTCTGCTGCCTTTATTCTCTGTCATGCCTTTACCGTGGCTCATGTCTCACATGCTTTTATGTTTGAACTTTCGCTCTTCACGGATTTTCATTCCCTTATTTTTCTCCTCACTGGTCACATTTTACCCTCATCTCCTCTTTCTCCATTTTATCTTTTCAATTTCCCTCCAAATCTCTCGCCCATTCCCTGTTTCCCACTGTCGACCTCCCTCCTTTTCCCTCCATCCTTCCTCCACCCACCGTGTGGTTTTTAGGATCTGACGACGAGGACCTGGGAGATGACCTGCTGCTTTCCCACGTGAAGGACTTCTGGTGGTTTCCTCACATGTGGAGCCACATGCAGCCCCATTTATTCCACAACCAGTCTGTGCTAGCCGAGCAGATGCTGCTCAACAAGAAATTTGCCATGGTGAGTCATCCAGGGGCCAAAGGTCAAGTCACAGCTTTGACTGAACAGCAGGATCTGAGTCGTCCTCGTTTGTGTCTTTGTGCTGGAGGTTTTAGACAACATGCCTCTCTTTTCTGGGGGGTAGTTTTTCAGGCTTTCATTAAAAAATCCTGGTTCAACTTGACCTTATTATGATTCAAATACAGCAGATAGTTATTTAATTCATAGTCCTTCAAGTGCTTTTGTTTGCTTTAACAGTACCTGATTGTCTGTCTCTGCTTTGTTCTGATAACAAGTTTGTTTTTGGTTTCAGTGCGGTACAAGTAGTCCCCATAAAATAGATCTGTAATGTAATCTGACTCATCAGGCGATTCAGCAAATCCAGCAGACCATGGTGGCATTAACCACTGTTGTAGCAAATTAGCATCAGTCTGTTTGTGGCCCTAAAGCATCCAGATAGAGTATCAGGACTAGTACCTTCATCACAAACCAGCCATAACCAGTCCTGCACGTCTCTGCTGCCCTCTGGTGGATGGTCTACATGTGGCTAAGGCTCATTCTCTGCCTTTATTACTGTTATACTTAGGGCTGTAGCGAAGCCTCGACGAAGTCGACGGCTCGATTCTAAAAATTTGTCGACGTCAGATCCGGAAGTCGACGCACCGCGCCCACTTGTTGCATCCACAGGAGTTTGTAAATAGAAGAGGAATCTGCCTATTTTTCCTCTAGTTCGCCCTCTTCTCCACCTTCACTAACATCTCCGCCAAATACCGAAGACCCGGAACAATGTCCGTCCACTACTAGATTATTTTCCT